CTTTTTTGGCAAAAACTTTGCAAACGAGGAATTTTCAAAATCATGATTTTGTATCCGTTTAGCTTTCAGTACTTCTTTTTATTTTTAAAAGAACCATGTTTTCTTAAAGTACTTTGACTTGTGGTCTGCTACCTTTTCTCACTCGCTTAGTTGTTAGGGCAGGGGCCCAAACCACTGTTCGCTTTTGAAGCCTTCTCAAGGGCATCTTGTCATTTGAAATTTTAATTTTTGGATTGCAAAAATTTAAAAATTACATTTTAGCCCCCTGGAAATTTTAGATTTCAAAAATAAAAAAATTTACTTTAAAATTAAATTTCTGCCTAGGATATTGTATTTTATTAAATTCGGATATTGAAAATCCAAAATATTTTCTGAATACAAAAGTAAAAAAAAAAAAAAACGCCAACAACCATCTCTCCATTGAGGATCTTATATTTTTATTGATTTCATATCTTTGAGATCCGAAATATGGACAATTTCATAACCACACATAATACACCAGGTATAGATGTAATAACAATAAATTATGGGTAAATTTTAAATAATGTTAAATAAGGTAGACATTAACGTAATTTTTTCAAAAATATACAAGAATATCATTTATCATCGAACAACGCGGTCGCAAACACCGTAAGCCAAAATTTTAAGGAAATGTTTTTGAAGATGTAATAACAATAAATTATGGGTAAATTTAAATAATGTTAAATAAAATAGATAACGTCATTTTTTCAAAAGTATACAATAGTATCATTTATCATGAGCAATGATGTCCCAAACACAATAAGTTAACTTTATGTATGAGTATGACGGATTACATATTTGCACATTTCTCATCTTAGGATCAGGATTAGGAATGATTGTGAACTCTTTATATCAAAAATATCAATGCACAATCCCTATCCGTATTTGTGGACATAAAAGGAATATGATGTTTTTCCATTGACAAAAAATTTGAAACAGAGATACAAGATTTTGGTTCTTCATGCTGGCTCGTTGGCCTATATTGCGATAATGCCGCGTTGGTTTGCTCAGTTGGTTCGGCAGATTCGGCCAATGGTTTAAAAAAATAGAGGGAAAAAATAAAAGAAGTCAAAAAATACAGAAAAATATATTAGATAAAGTATTCAAATAAAAAATATGACTTCAGACTATAGGAAGCATATATCAAAATCGAAACTTAAAAATATAAATATTGGAAAGAAACCACAAAAAAAAAATAAGAAACAAAGAAACAAAATTCAAGATTCTTTTGCTTTGATCAAAAAAACATTGTTAGGACTTTTTTAGACCAATGCAACAGGAATTTTTTGAACAAATTTGAATAAATTTGGTGAAACAAATAGAGAGTAATAGAAGTTTTTACGTCGGATTACAAAATATTGAAATTTAGAAATTTGATTTCTCTGATTTTCATTTTGATACTACAAATTGATACAGGAGTATTATATAGAGGGCTTACATATAAATAATCTAAACAACTTTCAAGTTCTTTCGTTAAAATCCAATAAAAAAATTGGAAGAATGGTGGATTGTGTTTTCGACGGTGAAAAATAATGAGTTTGATGAGAGAACCTCGTCAAAATCTCAAATTAATCCAAATAAACTAGTTGTGGATAATAAAAAAATAGTATCCTAAATAATCAATTTTCGGGGTTAAATAAGGGGTGCGGTTTGTATAGAGCCGGGGCTCTAAACAATCAACACCTTCTAATAGTGTCGAGAAATATGGTTTCAATACTGGAAAGTTTTGTGATAGCCTTAAATTATATTTTTCATCTTTAGTTATGAAATTTAAAGCTTCAAAAATAGTGTAGATCGAGCATATCTATAAAAACTTGAAAATCTTGAAAATCGACGGTCAACAAAATGTGTTATAAGATGCAATATTTCCAAAACATGAAATCCATTTTTTTCTCATGTCCATGCATCTTGATGGCGAGATGATCAATTTGACGATATTTGGGCATCAAAACAACCTCTTCTAGTGAAAGTTTTGATGTAGGCTCTAATTTATTTGTTTAGAGCCAAGGCCTATATAAACTTCTCTCTTAAATAAGAGTGGATCAATCATCGATCCAAAAAATTAAAAAAGGTATACTTAAAAACATATTTTTCTATGAACAATTTTTTCATGCTGAGTGGAGCGCATTTCGACAATATGCGGTTCAAAGATATAAAGCATCAATCTTAAAGCTGGACACAAATAGGTGGTCCATCTAAAAACAATTGTAATTGACCATCTAAATGTTTTCTTAATATAATTATTATTTCTAATTTTCAAAATTTATTTATTTTTTCATATTTATGGTCTCTATGTTAAAGATTATATATTTATTAAAATTAAGATCAAAATATATTTATTGCCAAGCCCGTATTTCTACAATATGTGTCTGGCCCCATAAAAACCATGTGGTACCTAAAAACATATTTTTCTATATGTTAAGGACATATGCTGGCCCGAGTCTAGACTACAACCCACTTGATACCTTGTCGGTCCGAGTCTATTTGGCCAGTTTCGAGTCAAATAGGGAGTTTACCACTAGTCTCCATCATCCATCTTAGAGAAGCAACAGTGAGGTACCTCACCTATGTTTAATATGGACTGTACATGCACAAGATGTGTATTTCATATGCATTGGTTCCCCTTTCACCAACATGGGAAAGAAAGAGTACAGGTAACGACAGATCCTAGCAATCAGATTGCCTCAGATTGCCTCTGTCCCTCACCAGTCTGGTCCGACAACATCCCTAAGTTTTCTCTTTCTTTGACCAATGACTGGTCAATTTTATCATTTTTTTTCTCGTTGCAAACCTTTCTTATGTTATTTTCAAATATTTAGTTCGGATAATTACTCAAAAAAATATTTAGTTCGGTTAATTACAGAAAAATATATATTTTCAGAACCAACAAGTGGAGAAAAACTCGAGTGAACCAACTCAGACTCGCCGTCCTGGCGAGTCCGAGTATCCTCAAGTTGGATGGTTTGGTTCAAGGATCTTAAAAAAATTATTGAAAAGTGTTTTTGGCATGAATATTATTTTTACATTTTCTCCTTTTTTTTGGATTATTTCTAAAATACTTCCCATCACAAATTGATTTTTCAAGTCTATTTTTCCATTACTTTTTTAATCTAATTCATAGATTTTTTATCTAATTTTATTTTAAACATAGTTTTTGTATTTTAGAATTATTTTTATTTTTATTTTTTCGACATTTGGTCAGAATCGACTCAATTCAGGCCAACTCAGAGTTACTCGGCTCGGCTAGGGCCGAGCCCCTGACCAAGCAGCAATTTTTTACATCGTTGAATCGTTAGGCGAATCGGTTTGGACCGAACTTCACGCTGAGCCAGTTAACAAGCAATTGTCTTGTACTACAGAAACTAGAAACTAACAATGTGTCCAATACCATACCCAACCAGGAAAGCAATCACTGTTGATATTCTCGAAGGTGGATTCAACGTTGTGCAAGTTAAAAGCATTGTGGACTATTATTTGCAACAACATTTTTGCTCTAACACCCTAAAAAGATAGATGTGTTCTAGCAAGATCATACTGGACACTTACTCTTTTGGACAAAAAATTAAATATGTTGACTTTTTTTTCTTAAATTTGGAAATGTGTAGAGCAAAGTTGGCTCTAGCTCACTCTAGTTCCTGCCCAAGCCGAGTAACTCGGGTCGGTTAGTCTACATGCCTACAAGACAAAAAAAAAAAAAAAGGCCCCAAAATAAAAAATAAAATAATTATTTAAAATAAAATTAAACTGAAAGTCCAATTAAGATAGAAAAGAAGGCAAAGGATATGGATTTAAAAAAATTGATTTATAACTAAAATAATTTCAATAAAATGAAAGCGAAAATATAAAGTAGAGCATGAAAACATCACACAAGTCATCATTAAATGCATCCAAATTAAAAATTAATAAATTGATTTCATATTAATATAATTTTTATAGTTTTTATTTTTTAATTACATTAAGCATTGCCAATTACTCAGCCGGGCCAAGTCCATGTGATCTAGGCTGAGTTTCTGATCTGTATGCGAAAGTGAGACATGAAAAATCTCCCGCGGTCACACAAAAATGCTCCCGCAGCCCCACTTTTATATAAAACTTTTTTCTACATTTATATATATAGAGAGTGCCTTATGTAAATCTCACCCTTTTTATATTCCCTTATATAAACTTTTTTTGTATATTTATATATGGAGGGTGCCTTAATAAATCTAATAAACCAGATTCCAAAACCACCACATCTGCCTCTCTATTGAAAAAGCGCCTATGCAGGTTAAAAAAGACAGAATTAGCCTCAAATCTCCTCCTCAATATAATTTCCACCTTTTTCTTTTACATATTTTTTTATTTCTTTTTATTTTCATATATATATATATATATGAAAAATTATATCACTGGATTTTATACAATGAGACTATTTATCTTTTGGGACAAGAAGGTCACAACTACTTACCGCCATAAGTGTATCATGAAGTTGGAAAAAAAAATTTAAAACTTTGAGTTTGATTAATGAAATAAATACAGCTACTCAATTTTACATCCAATAGAAAAAATTATTAATTATGACCGTTTTGTACAAAAAATAATTTATCACATTATATATTTTCCCTTATATCAATAATCTGTCTCATGGTATATTTTCCCTTATATCACGTTTAATTCTAAACTCTAAATCTTAAAAATTTTAATTAACTTTTTTTTTCTGATTATTTTCCATAGCAAAGTAGACTCACTTTCAACAAAAAAATTGACAATTTAATCAAATTCTGAATATTTCAAAAAAAAAAAGATTATTACGTGTAAGAAGTCAAATGCGAAACGTATGGAGGGTATTTTAGTCTTTCTACCAACGGTACCCATCTGGACTCCATTTTTCTCCTTTTTATGTTGCATTTTCTGCTTCCTGCTTTCTGATTTCCTTCTGATCCAATTATTCCAAAATATTATTTTCATTTTTTTTTCACTTTTTTTTTTTTTTTCCGCGTAAAATATAACAAAGACAGAAGAAGGCTTGGAGTGAAAGCCAACTTTTTTCTATTGAAGAAGCAAAGCATCTCATTTTGCACCGCCCTTTAATCCTCCTTGAAACTCCTAACTTTTCAGCTAAATTCTCTGCTATATTAATAAGTTTCTGTAATTGGGTTTTGTTCTTATCATGTTCTGCAACTTCTCCATTAATGCCTGGACAATGCATGCATTGTATCTGAGCCGCACCAGCGGTTTCAGCTAAGTTTTAGGAGTATCCTTTACTGAGTGCTTTTTCCTCTACCCTTTCCTTCCTTCAATTTTGAGCTCTTCAGGGATTTGGGTATTGAGTATTTACTGGTTTCTCCACATTCCTTTGCTTTTTGGGTGATTGGTTGTCTGGGTAATGGAGATTCTTTGATAAAAACAGGGAGCTGTAGGAGGAGCTTAAAGTTTTCTTCTTTATTTTTGGCATTTGGGTTCTTGAGTGTGATCAACACAACCCATTTGAATTGGGAAGTTTTTACTGAAATTATTTTCAGAAAACTGTAGAAATATATACTTCTTTTTTTGGATTCTGTTTTTTGTTTTGGGAAATGTTAACATGTGATGTTTTCTTCGGTCATTCATCGCATTCTTTTGCTTTACATTGAGAAGATTTCATAGATAAAATAATTTGTAGCACCTCAGTCATTCGGAGTCCTTATTTTCTCTTTGGAAAATTTGCAAATGGCATGAGAAAGTGAAAAAAAATTTAAAAAATTTTTGCAAGTTCAAGAATTCTGATTATTTGGGTACCTTCAAATGTAATGGATTTCTACAAAAGTGATTTTTTTTTAATGAAAACATTTATACAGGCACAAAGGACAGGCTTCACAGATTTTAGTGCATGAAATTTACTGCATAACCAGGGGCACATTACCACTCCAACTATGTTTTAAAGTATTCAGAGAATTTGGCATTGTTTGCACAAACGATTCGATTTTGGAACAGAGGAATGTTATGGCTCATTAAAAAACAGGTATCACCAAATATAAAGGGAAATTTTAATTGAGATTGTTGATGATCACAATGAATTACAGCACAGCATCTTTGAAAGCTGCTTGGACACCTGTTCTGAAAGAAGAAACAGCCACTTTGGGGTATTGGTTGCACTGGCAAGTCTATGTTTGTGTAATTATGATCCTTTTTGTAATGGCCATTTCTGCATATATAATATGGAAGTATGAAGATTTCAGTGCTAGTGAATGTATAGGCAGTGAGTTGAGGCCACAATCATTGCATTCTCTTTACGAGGACGAATCATGGAGGCCATGTCTCAAAGAGATTCATCCTGCCTGGTTGATGGCCTATCGCATGTGCTCATTCATTGTTATGTTGGCTGTGCTCACAACCAATGCCATTTTCGATGGAATCGAAATATTTTACTTCTATACTCAGTAAGTTGTTTTCCTGTTTTGATTCTCCACTTTAAATGAATTGGATGGCAATTTTTCTCCCCTTGCTAAAGGGCCTTTTTTAACTATTTTATTCTTTTACATAATTAATGTTCCTCTCTAATGCATTTTGGTATTGACTGAAAACACAAATGTTCTGTGAAATAGGAATTTGATATTGTTCAATAGAAATTTATTTTCCCCTATTTAATTTACTTACATTTAGAAGATGTAATTTGTTTACTGTGTGATTCTTCTTCAACTACTAACTCACTCATTGCTTGTTGTGTGGTACCAAATAGGTGGACATTTGCTTTAGTTACAATCTATTTTGGGGTATGTGTTTCTAGTTCTAACTTTGATATTTTGACTAAAAACTTCCTTTTATCTGATTGCTTCTTCGAAATGAGTTATGTATTGTGTTTGCAAGATAACAGTATTGTTATCAATGATGTAATAAACAATAATCAAGTAAGGAAAAAGCTGATAATGTCATATCCTCATCTTCTTTATTTAATAACTACAAAATCTTCTAGAATTACTTTGGCATTTTATTCAGTCAAGGGCATATTTGTTGCTTACATTATCTCTTTTTGTTTGCAGATTGGTTCATTGTTATCCATGTATGGATGCTATCGATATCTAAATCGGGTTGCTGGTGATAGGGATAATCTTCAAAAGTTAGACACAGAACAAGGTACATATGTGGCTCCAACACTTGAAGAGACCACAAATGTGCGCACATCTAAAAGGTATACCTTTCAAGGAGATCAATATGATCGTCAAAAAGCTGGGATTTATGGATATATCTTTCAAATTGTATATCAGGTACGTGTTGATGAATAAGTTACTTTAAAACTAATTTTTTAGGTTCTCTTTGATAGAATTCTGTAAATTCTCTTCAAACTTCTTTTTGTGCATCCCATAATATGTTATAGATCCCCTTCAGTTTTTTAGTCAGTAATCAAGTTTTCATCTCATTATTTTGTATAAGGGAGTCATTAAACTTGTCTGTTCTTGTGTCATACTTTACTAATAAAATTACACTGAAATTGGAAAAAAACCCCATTGCTTATAGTTGTCCCAAAACTAGAACATAGCTGCAAGTACAAGTGTCTTCTACCAGAGAAACGAAATTAATAAATGTTGTATTCCTTGCTCTTGTTAAATAAGCAAGGTAAGAATGACTAGATTAGTGAGAATAGTATATTTCCCCCCAAACAACAGGGCATTACTCTTCCTACCAATCAACCTTCTTTCATCCCTCGTCAAATCAAGCTTCCAAAGATGAATATTTAGTGTCTCATTAGACAATGGAAGAACTAAGTACAGGGACAAAAAATAATTTGATCAGAAAGTTCAGGTGCATAGTGTGATGCTTTTAACATGAACCCTGCAAGATAAAAGCAAAAATCTGGTTGCTTGAGGAAATGGCATGGTTGCACATGGTCCTGCAAACATCATTTATAAATGCAAGCATAAATACTCACATACATAGGAATACATTGTTAGTATTTATTTTCTTTGGTTTATAGTAATTGTTATCCATACCACCAAATTATGACATTGGAATTTTTTTACCTTTTTTGTTAATGATTAGTTGCTTTAATCTTTGTGCACTAGTTTTTTCTTCAAATAATATTATTGGTACTTTGGGTAATATTTAAAAAGTCAAAGGCCTTTGTATCATTTTCATGGTGTGTGGTGTTGAAAATGGGTATCTTCAACTAGTATCTAAACGAGATATGACTCAAACTAGGCTGGGTTACTTCGGCTCGGCATGGTGCCCAGACGAGGTCAGGTGCACATCTTGGGATAAATGCACCTGTACAGTACTCAGGCGAGTCCATAAAGTACTTACTGGAGTACTATTACTGAAAAGAAATCAAAAGAGAAATAAAAGGTCTACAGAAATTCGGGCCCCATTGATCCATTTTCGTACGACCCCCAAAACCCCTTTTTTTCGTCCAAATTTTCAGATTATGATAGAATATCAATAGATTTACATATTGGAAGCATTAGATTCGAGGAAAATCCATTAGATTTCTTGCATTTAAAGATCAAAGAACTGGGGATTTCTTTGTCCAATTTGAAAAACTTCAGTTTCTTTGAATCTGATGGTTGATATCTGATGAAAATCAAACCCTTTGATGAATATTTCAACTACTTATATTTTTCATAACTTTTGAAATTTTTATGAATTTCTTTTTAAAAATGAAAAATTCTAGTACCCTTTGTTGGATTAGACAGGACTTTGGCAAGTCCACTTGAACTCTCCCGAGTAGCTCAGCTCAGGCAAGGTGTGAGTCCCAAGCCCGAGCTAAGGTTTTGCAAACTGAGCGGCATAATTTAGACCATATACAATCACCATATCATTCTTTGTGTTTTGTAAAAATTCCGAGCTTCCTTTTAAAAATTAAAAAAAAAAAAGCAAGAGAACAGATGGACAAGGATCTTTATATCTTGTTTCTATAAAATATATATAGATATGTGCTACTCTTCAACATATCTACCAATTTGTGTGTTGGAAGTGGGTGTGTTCTACCATATTGGTAGCTTTTTGAGTTTTAGTGAGGATGAATTTTTTTTTTTTTGTAGAGAGAGAGAGAACATATCCAAGAATCTTCATATCTTGTTTCCTAAATAGATATAGATATGTCCTTCTCTTTAACATCTTTACTATTTTCTGTTCCCCTGTGAGTATTCATGTAAACACATTCTTGAAAAGTTTGCTTCTTGAATTGAACAGACAACTGCAGGTGCTGTAATATTCACCGACTGTGTCTTTTGGTTCATCATTGTTCCCTTCCTTACTAACAAGGATTACAATGTGAGGCCAGTAAGTAAACTATTTGTAGATACACTCTCTGTTGCCTATATGTCTTCTGAATTTAGTCGTATCTTGTATGCAGTCTATCTCTGGTTCAATTTATCAAGATGAGTAAAATTTTACTTAAGCACACACACACAAACTACAACTTGAAATATGGTAATTAGCATGGTTAAAAGAAAGCTGCAGGACAATTACGGGATGTTGCAGTATATAGTTGGCACATTTTTTTAAAAAAAAGCTATTAATGTTTATTTTCCTCATTTTGATTAAGTGATGGCCATTTTCTCACAAAACAGTCATTTTCTGACTTTTTCCATTTTCTTTCATTTTTTTTCCACTTTTTCCCCTTGTATCACATTTCATTTACATAACAGTACAGGATCCCTGCCTCTATAATGTTGTAACAGCATTTTTTATTCTGTGATACTTATAAATCCTTGTATGATATTTTCCTGAGTAAATTTTGTATCCTACAATCTTGAATTGTCCTTTTGGACCGCTAATCTTTTTTAAGTATTTTTCTTTTGTAACAGATATTGATCGGGATGCATTCAATAAATTTTGTACTTCTCCTTGTTGACACTTTTTTGAACTCCTTGGTACATTCTACATTCATAAAACCTCCATTTTCTAGATCCCTTGCACACACATTGACATTGGTGTCTTTGTTATCAGAGATTCCCATGGTTCCGGATCTCATATTTCATCTTGTGGACAGCCACGTTTGTCATCTTCCAATGGGTTTTACATGCTTGCGTGTCACTTTGGTAATCCATATCTCTGTTTACTCATGCTCTCAGTATTTCTTATTTTTAATCCTGTTATTTTGATAATCCTATTTTGGGAATTATGTTTGATATTTACCCCATATCAAAGGTTGGAACCTCTATGCTGCCCTAAACCAAACAGAGTAATAACAGCTAGTTAATGCTTCATTGTATTCCAACATAGATTTTCAGTGAAAAAATTATCATTTTATATCACCTCAGTAGTCTCAAGTCTCAACTCTTTTTCAATTTTGCTGCCACTATAGCCTGCTAGGAAACTTCAGATTTCTTCTCTAATTTTTTCAAGCATGACCAATCAGTATGTCTGTTTGGTTAATGGTCAATGCTTCCCTTTAATGGCTAGAAATCTATTCGTACTTCCCCATACCCACTTTCCATAAATTACTGAATGCTCCTAAAATGCAAGACAATGTTTTTCACAAACGAGTAGCGATATCATCTCTCTCTCTCTCTCT